AGTGAATAATTTGTGGTGAAGGGGAATGGTAGAATAAACTAACTGAAATTAAACAAAAATGCTTTTTTATTTACCCAAACAGAATAAATTGCATAAATTGCCATTTAGAAGATGAATATTTCCTGTCCGTACGACCCTATCAAACTTCCGTCCAGTGCTCCAGTATCACTGTGACAAATGGATGACAGGGTCACACAGCATGCTGTTGTATGATAAAGGCAATGACTAGTCATTTTTCATATACTGCATTGCTACATGTAAAACTCGGTTGTTGATGGTAATATTTTGCCTGGCCATATCAAACATCCGTCCAGTGTCAGAAAGGCAAGACAGAGCGACAAAAATAAAAGTTCGTGAGTTTCAAAGTTACATTGATATTGAGTTAGAAGTACCCTAATGTAACAAAAAAATGAATACTAGTAAATCCATCTATTTTGTTTCCATTGTAAATTGTTTTTACCTATTATGCAATAATCGAAAGAAAAAATACCCGTATTTTTTCACCGTGCTGTTTTCTGTATGCCCTCATCAGACTTCCGTCCAGTGTGTCAGTTTCACTGTGACGAATGACAAGGTCAAACAAGACTTAATTTTATATTTATAACTACAAGTATTTGCACATCTGAATCTCCCCGTGAAGGTCACTGTGACATATAAATATTGGGAGGGGTCCATAAGTAAGGTTAACTTACTAAAAAGATAATTAAATTAATTTCTCGTCCGTATAAGCCTATCAAACTTCCGTCCAGTGTTCCAACATCACTGTGACAGATGGATGAGGTTCTTACAGTCACCTTCTCATATCTTTTATAGCTGAAGAATTCAAGCATTTTGCATTTATTTTCATCTAATGCACAGAAAAAACTCGGTTGGTGGTCATTCTGCATTGCCCTATCAAACTTCGGACCAGTTTCAAATATCCACTGTGACGAAGACAAGAAAGATCGACACAAAATGTTTATGAACTCTGATATGAATGGCTATCCTTGAATATTTCTATTGTTTTCAATGATACCTCCTTGCTGTTGAAATTTTCTTCTGTTTGTCCTTATCAGACTTCCGTCCAGTGTGTCAGTTTCACTGTGACGAACGAATGACAAGGTCAAACAAGAAATTAATTTGGTTATCTTTTTATAAATTGCATACTGTATTCCTATATCCTCATGAATGTCTGAATTTCACTGTGACAAGTGAATAATTGGCGGTGAAGGGAAATGGTAGAGTAATCTAACTGAAAATTCAAATTGAACTAAAATGATTCTTTATCCAAACAGAATAAATGACATGTCATCATCATTTACATGTTGAATATTTCATGTCCGTATGACCCTATCAAACTTCCGTCCAGTGTTCCAATATCACTGTGACAAATGGATGACAGGGTCTTACAGATGATTATATAGTATTGTGTTGTTAAAACCAGTGAGTATTTATTTTCATCTAATATACAGCTAAAACTCGGTTGTTGATCATAATATTTTGCATGGCCCTATCAAACTTCCGTCCAGTGTCAAATATCCACTGTGACGAAGACAAGATAGAGCGACACAAATGAAAGTTCGTGAATTTCAAAGATACGCGTACAATGTACATTGATGTTGAGATGGGATAGCAGTAAAAAAAAAAAGATTACTAGTAAATTCCAATCTATATTGTTTTTCACCTATCTTGCAATCAAAATCGAAAAAATATCACCATATTAATATTTTCACTGTGCTATCCAGTATCACCGTATTGTCGAATATCATCTTCCGTATGCCCTTATCAGACTTCCGTCCAGTGTGTCAGTTTCACTGTGACGAACGAATGACAAGGGCAAACAAGAATTAATTTGGTTATCTAACCTAACTGAAATTAAATATGAATTATATGCTTTTTCTTACCCAAACAGAATAAATGACATGTCATCATCATTTAGACGTTGAATATTTCATGTCGGTATGACCCTATCAAACTTCCGTCCAGTGTTCCAATATCACTGTGACAAATGTATGACAGGGTCTTACAGATGATTGCTGTTGATAAAACCAACGAGTATTTATTTTCACCTAATACACGGCTAAAACTCGGTTGTTGATCTTAATATTTTGCATGGCCCTATCAAACTTCCGTCCAGTGTCAAATATCCAATGTGACGAAGACAAGATAGAGCGACACAAATAAAAGTTCATGAATTTCAAAGATACAATGTACATTTCATGTTGAGATGGGCGCAGTACCGTAATGAGAAATAAAATGAACACTAGTCTAGTAAACCATCTATTTTGCTTCTAGTGTAGAACCCTGCAAATCAATATCGGAATAAAGGAAAAAAATACCTTTGTTTTTTCATTGTGCTGGCCAGTATAACCGTTTGTTGAATATTTTCTTCTGTTTGCCCTCACCAAACTTCCGTCCAGTGTGTCAGTTTCACTGTGACGAAAAAATGACAAGGTCAAACAAGAATGTTTATATTTGCCCATTTGATCAGATTTCTAGAGTTTTTATGTAACTGTGTCGTATAAATGACAGAAAGTTAAAAAGCTGTGCAAAGGATAATTTTCATTTTTAACAAAAGAATGATTTGTAGTAAATACATCAAGATAAAAATGATTTATGGTTTTGATAACCTCTTCTTCCAGTATTTGAAATACCGATATATCTTCCCATAATATTAAATCGAAGACATTCCGAAAAAAGCTGCGAGCTTTTTTAATTAGCCAGATAAAATATTTTATTGAATTTTTTATGCCCCCACCCTTGTTTTAATGTTAAAAACCTCATTCTTCATAACATTTTAAAATATTTATAAGACGGTTGTGGAAGGTATTATTTTGAAATTAAATATGCAGAGTTTGTTATAATCAAAGACCCCGCCCTTTCAAAATTTTCCAACGATGAAAAAAAAATGAAATGTAGTTCAAATCTCTGAGTACTCATTAAGTCATGTCATACTTATTTTCTTTTAGCTTTGGGTTTTGATTTATCCATGTTAAAATTTATTCGCGTTCAGATTTTCGAAATAATAAATTTCAAACGTTTGGATTGAAATCTATCCGACAAAATAAATCGAACGTTGTTAGGACTTCATTATATGAATGAAGTAAGAAGCAGGCGATACATGTGTTTACAACAAAAGCCGCTAAAGAGCCATAACTAAATCTTAAAAAAAAAGAAGTTATTTGCGATATATTCACGCTGCGTTATGTGGATTTTCAAACTTGTTTCTAATTTAACACAAAACTACAGGACTTGTATAATCCTCGTTTTTCGCATTCATCACGGAAAAAACTAGATAAAAAAAGGTCATGTACTTACTATTTTGTGTGAATTTCTATTGATTATGATAAATAAGTATACATGTATTCTTCAAGGATGGAATGAAAAACAAATTCACTCAAGAGATTATATAGTTCTTTGATGAGTAAGAAATTAAACTACTCAAGCTCTAATTAGCTGCTTGTAATTAAATGAAAGAGGTAATAGGTACCTGGACACAACAACGAGTACTCCAAAGGAAAGAAGATAATTGCTATGAAAACATCATGATTGCTTAATTAAGGGGATTTCATTTTCACACAATTTTGATAAAATTATCAATTATCGTTATTAATAAAATAAAAAATTGTTAAAGAGGTAAATGGGATTTTGATTTCTATAAGTGGAGGTGATATTTGACAATTAATAAAATTTTGAAAGAAAAGATTGAAAAATAATATTCTACATTAAAGGTATAACAGAATATTAAGTTTATACTATAGTAAAGAAATTATAATGAACAATGAAAATGCCGATAATTCAATTTTACCGTTCTCTTTATTTGAAATAAAGATGAATCGAGACAAAGTATAATTAAGCAGGCGCGGATCCAGGAATTTTTTTCCATGGGGGGGGGGGGGGTCCATACCAATCAAAAAAAATTCTGACCCAAAAATTTCTTGACAAGCCAAAAAAAAAAAAAGAAAAAAAAGAAAATGTAAAATCCATTTTCAAAACGTGAAAAACACCTATTTCGTGATGGTGATGGTGGGGTTCACGTTTTCTGGGGGGGGGGGGGGTCCAAAGTCATTTTTTTATTTGCTTCAGTATATACCTTAAATAACTCTGCAAATTCCAGGGGGGTCCGGACCCCCGACCCCCCTCTAGATCCACGCATGATTAAGTTACATGTACCTCTGCTATTATGACATTTCGTATAATAATTGGGACATCTAGCTTCATTTTTATTTTAGCCTCAATTGAATTAATTCAAAAGTGTACGCCTATGGAGCAGCTTATAAAATAGTTGATTTAGTGCCCTTTGATAAACTTCGATTATATAACAGAGATGTATTCATTCATAATTGGTAAATTAGTTTTGGATATTCTGGCCGTTTTCTTCTCTAAGTGCCAATATATATTTTTTTTCTGCTGAATAATGGGTTACTGATGTAAATAAAACACATAGGGGGAGTCTGTTGATTATTATATGTACATCTCTTGGGCAATATATAATTCTGTATTTTCAAGAATTCCGTACATTGACGATCAATGATTGGGGTGTTTTGTAAATTGAATTTTACCAAATTTGGTAATGACCTGATGAATACCAGACCTAGGTGCTTCCTTCACATAGGAACTCGGGAACAGCGGTGGAAGTTTACTCGGGCCGCACTTCTCACTCGCGGGACACCGTGCTTAACCCTGGCACGTATAAAACTTGGGTCAGTCATATAATCCATGATTGTTTGGATTTTGAGGGATACGAAAAAAGGAAATTTACTAATACAGGACTCGATTGGAAGGGATTTGTGTGATACTCTGTGTATAAGTTAAGGAGAAAAAAATGAAAAGGACTAGTACCTTCACAGGAGGTAAAGAATCAGAATGCAGATCTCAGATTTTCAAATCGACTCAAGAGAGCAAATTTATAAATAGCAATGAAGATCATCTTCGCAAGAATTTATCACTTGGGTGTGTATAACAACAAATGATCTTCTGTAAGTGGCACTTTTAAGTTTGTTCGATTTCAACGATCGACAATGATTCTACATGGAGTGGGTTGTCGAACCTTTCGTCCCAATCCTCGAGTCCAAGATTTGGGGGATGTCATTCAAATGAACAGGATCACGAGACAAAAGCTAAAGATAAGTAAATACCACGTCAGCCACAAGTCTGTTAATGATGAGGGCGAAGAAATGTTGGTCCCAGATGCTGGGTACCTAAAGGTAAATGTGTTCGAATGGCTGCCTGTTTTACGTATTTTTGTGGCGGACCCTGGGGGGTATATTGCTTCATAAGAGTAATTTACTCCAAAAGCACATTATAACTCCTTTATGTAGAAATGATAAATATTTTAGTCCAGAAAAGAGGCAGGGGGGATTTCTTGGATCATACACAGTTACCCTATACTCTTTCATTAAAATCCAGCATTGCCTAGAAACTTATGAGGAAGGATGTACGCATATTGATGCTTTATACACTGTACATCCAAAGCACCGATTGCATGTACAATTTTTTTCCTCTCAATTTTTGTTCTATTAAAAATTCATTGCAAAAAATATCTTTCAAAATTCTTGTATAAAAGATTAAAACAATTTCAAATTATAGTTTGAAATTGTAGTAAAGAAGAAAACTATTCCAAAAATTATATTTTGGTCTTAGTCGTAAGTTTTTGCGTTAGACAGGGCCCAACATTGCAAACTACATGTAAGTGGTTACATTTGAAGACTTGAATGGAATCATCTGTGATCGGTCGCAGTCCATAGGCATATGAAGGGGACCTAGACTCTCCCTTTTTAAAGATTTCAAATTGATGCCTGATCTTACTTGTTGAATATTAAGATAAGGTTCACTTTTTAAAAGTTACAACCTGTACAGAAATTGAAGATATAATTGTCCGTCGACCCTGTCCTTTCAGCTAAGTGCCTAGAGAAAAATCAAAGTACTGTGAGTACTGATAGACGGTGGCATGAATGATTTTGTTTGTTTAACGTCCCTCTCAAGAATTTTTCACTCATATTAAGACATCACCATTGCCGTTGGTGGGCTGCAAATTTAGATCTATATTCAGCACTCCGGGCCATTGGGTAGTGGGGGATCTTTTTCTGACCAGCACTTACTGCGACAGGGGACCTCGGTTTAACTGTTTTCAATTCGTACACACGGCTTTTTTTTAATGTTGTGTTAATGTAAAATTTCAATAATATTTATTAATAGTCAGAATATTTGAGGGAAAAAATATTTGAGGATAATGGTTTCACATTTTAACTCCGAAATCAAATAATTATAATTGCTAAACACACGCTCGGCGGTTTCTTAGTTACATATATGCGACAAACACTAATTACGAGACGTTCCCAATTTGATACTCCCTAATTACGAGATACTCCATGCTAGGAAAGCGTCGATCTCCAAATTTCTCCAATTCCAAAATATAGTTCGAGGACTGCACATTCCTTGTTCCGGAATTGCATGTTTTTAAAATGTTTTATTTGAGACGTTTTGTGGAATTTTTATACAATAAAACTTTAAAAGTTAATTGTAATTTTACGATGTCTTTTGATTGTTTGAATTTCTATCATCTCTTGACGATACTATATTAGAAAGATATTTATTTTAGGAAAGAATAAAAAGATCACGACACCTTAATCAGTTAATAAAAGAGTTGTTGGAGGCAGATACGATGCCATAAAATTTGCAAAGTTTATTACGATTCTATCTATAAAAAAGTAAGCCATTGCCTAATTATCTCGAACACAAAAACTACTGAACGAATGCTAATTTATCAAAACTAAAATTAAAAAGACTGTGACGGACAAAAGTTACCTATATATTTCATTCGTATTTGAAAATGCTATCGTGCCTCGATTAAAATTTACCCTTTAAAAAGTTTAAGAAAAAAGGTACTCAAATGCATGTGCATGAAATATTAGGATTTTCTTGCGAATTCAGTGGGTTTAATTTAGGTCAGTCTTCTCCTGCATGTGTTCACAAATTAAATTTCGTATTGCGCAATGACTAGCAGGCTCATTGTATATTAAGATTACGTATGAGAAATAGCATCGTCGCAAACCACGGCCAAAATGTGCGATCTCCCATTCTGGAGAGAGCTATATGCGGACTCCGAACCGTGGTTTGAAACGACGGATAAATAGAAGCTGACAAATATTTTTGTTATTTTGTTCTTTTTTTTCTTTTCGAACAGTATATATCAAACAAAAAAGTAAGACTTCTGTACAATGTCGCACAATCTGCAGTACATAGCCAAAAGTGATTCATCATTTCCCTCTTTACCATATACTTTATGAAAAGTAAGTTTTTGTTAAAAAAATACACGTATTGTGGGTTCAATTCTACTTAAAATTTTAAAAACTTTTCGATAAGTTTCGAAAAATTGTTCATATTCCCTGGGGGGGGGGGGGGGGCAAAATTTGATTATTGATCACTGAGTAAAGATCTGAAATTATAAAGTCAAAATTTTTAGCTTCAAAACCCACGATTTCATTACTCGTTTTTTGTAAATCATGCATCTTGGAATAAAAAAGTTCAGTCACTACATGAATATATTAGGAACCTTGATTCCCTTATTAATTAACATTTAGGATAAACTGGTTTTGACACGTTTTAAGCAATAATTTATGGGGAAAAAATACTAAAACATGAGGATCCCAAAATCCATTATTTGAATATATAATTTCAATCTGTCCATCATCCTTAAATATGTTTTCATTTTAAATTTGCAATTATGACTGTATACCACAATCGTACATATAGAAAAAAACTGAAATGATTGAACTTCCGTTTCTGGCATTTCAGCATACTTTATTTTTTCTTCAAACCTTATTTTATAATAAACCTAATGTGGAAAATTTCATGCAATAAATTGTTTAACAACTTTGATTAATATATGTCCTCATCATACTACGGAAATATAAATTTACTTATTAAAAGACCTGTATCGTGAAAAATTGCAATAAACTTTCAAAATTTCCATCATATCATTTTACAGATTCTTACAACATTTATCTCATTCAAAGCCAGTATCCGTGTGGCGTAGTGGTTAGAGCGTTTGCTCTAGAGTCACGGACATGAAGGAGTTGATCCTTACGTAGCGGGTTCGAATCCCACTGCGGGACGTGACTTTTCACATTTGTGTCATGTTCATAAAAACGAAAAAAAATGTGTACGAATTGACTTTTGTAGTTTGCATACGAATATACGAGTCGGTTTGTGTACAAATTAGTATTAGCTGTAGGACGGCGTAATTTAATGAATATTCATGAAGCGAGAAATATTGATAACGACAAATATCAGGAATTAAGCTTTGTACCCATCAACAAAATGTCTTTGAAATAACTTGAGAGTATTTGTTAACCATATGCATTTTATTTTCAAACATCGAATCAACCCTATTTTCATTATTTTGACTCTGCAAAAATCGCCGCTAGGGTCCCCGTGATTTTACACTGTTGTTATTTATAGCCCAAAAGCAGCAGCAATAGACTGTGGCTATAAATAGCCACCGTCTAATGATGACTACGTTTTGGTTATGGACAATATAAATATACCAAATTTTGAATCATTCCGGTTTGTAAAAATACAGTTAGGATCAATATTGTGTATCATATATTGTCATGTAAATTTTGAGTTTACCGAGTGGCAGTAAGTTGTCATGTTGTAAATTTCATATTTACTGCCACCCGGAAAAATTCAAATTATAAGGTACATGTCGCGTTGAAGTAAACGTAGAGCGTATGACACATTGCAAGCACTTAAGTCGGATACATCTAACGTAGATTAGGACAGGCTAGCTTGCGTGTTTCCAAAGCCAAAAAGTAAAAAAAAAATGGTAAAAATTCAACAAAACTAAGAAAGTTGTTTCAATTTATCGCCTGCTTGTGTGAATTGTCAATTTAATCAAAACCAGTTCTGTTTGCGAACATGGTATCAGTTCAAGTCTTTGATTATAAACTATCGCTAGTATTGGAACTCAAACCTTAAACTGTCTTTCTTTAAGAGGAAGCATTCGCTTGAGAATTAGAACTGTTAATTATCCATGGCTCTCACTTCTCTTAAAAGAAAGGAGAAGGGTGGGGTGGGGTAGGGGGTTAAGGAGGTACTCCTCATGTAGAAGGGGATGGAAGTAGTACAAAGTATATACACTTCTGGTTTATAGACATTGTAAAACTCATTAAATGTCAGAATGTAACGATCATCTATCGGGTCAATATTGCAACATTTGCAATATTGTCTGTATGCGTGTCTGGAGACGATATGATCAGCAAAGCGTTCTGGAATATATCTGACTGTAAAGGCGAAGAACTCTTAAATCTGACAGCTCTTATAGCCTGTATTGTCAGAGTGGGCAGGTTATACTTACCAAATACTTATATAGGTCCTGACTAGAGCCACTCATAGACCATGAAGACTCATCTTTATTGATTGTTTGATCTTTCCTGCAGATATTGTATCCATAATGAGTAGATACTTTGGCATGCTTGAAAAATAAATTGAGACTGGAAGTCGGCCGAATAGAAAGAAAAGTGACTTTTTGTAAAGATTCGGAAAGTAAATCGAGAATTTTGAATACCCAAAATTACAAAAAAATTTGCAGAGACATAACACAGACTAATGCTAATATTCTTCCTCTGTCTGGCCTCCTTCATCAAGTTGAAGATTTGGCCAGTTGCGTGTGTGCATGTTTAAAAGAAAGTTTTGTTTTTTGTTTTTGTTTTTGTTTTTTTTTGGTTTTTTTTTTTTTTTTTTTTTTTTTTTTTTTTTTTTTTGCTTTTTTTTTCGGGGGGGGGGGGGTGTTTTTAAATAATATTGTCGTTTATCAATTTTCAATCTGGAGTTGAGTATGACCATAAAAGAGAACTAAGGCTAATATTGTCGTTTATTAATTTTTCAATCTGGATGACCACTTCAGATTGAAAATCAATAGACAATATTTCATTAGCAAAAAATAAATAAATAAATAAATAAATAAATAAAAATTAAAGATTCAACAGATGCACATACAATCTTATTTGACACAGCAAAACAATCTGCACATATACGTATGTAATGCCTACTTTGGTATCTGATTTGCTTATTACTAGCCATTCTCTGTAACCACTTAAACTTTTGTGGCACGCATAGTCACAGATTTTTTTCAAATTTGGCTAGAATTTACCACCTCATAAACTACTCCAAAAAATATTGTTAGATCAAATG